CCGTTTGCACTTCGTAAAGCTCGATTAATTGGCATGATTTCAATGATATTCGTGATTTTGTTCAAGATAAATATAAGCATGATGATCGTCGATTCGATGAAATGCGAGTTGTGACACGGCGTGTCTCGCTCTTTCAAAACACATGTCTCAGGCTCAGAACACAAGTGGAGAAAATATTAAAAAAAAATAGTATCTCGGGGTTTGATAATTTCTCTATCGCAAACCACGGGCTTTTAATTCTCTACGTGCTTGATCGCGGTAAGTGACGAACAATCACTTCACAGCGCGCGTACTATGCAACATGAATACGCGCGCGTACGCATATCGCAAATCCGCTGCATCACACGGGATGACTCGTGAGAGTACTTCATCTCCGAGCACATCAGCAGCGTCATCGTGTCGTTTAATAAACATAAATATCCATCATTTTGTCACCCCGTCTAATCTGATATCTCGATGACGTTCCGACAAGTAATGCAGAGACTTTCGCGAATGCAAATGTAATATCCATGTGTAACATTAAATATATCACGGAACGGAGATGACTTTCGAACATTTGAATTCATCTCGCGTATAATGTCACAAGCTGAAACGTGATGCGTGATGGGAATAGTGGCGTAACGCTAGCGCGGTGGAACAATAGTTCAATTAAGACATTAAATAAGTAATTAGTACACACACCGGCGAAATTAGCAGTATCATGTAGAAATATGTCAATAGTAGAGAACATCAGTAATACAACGATATCGATTTTACTCTTCGTTGAAACCCGGTATTTATACTCTACTATACCTAATTAATGGTGAATAAATTAAACAAGATCCACGACAAAATCAAAAATAGATGACGTAAAGAAATTGATTGACTGTGTTTTTTAAATAAACTGTATAGCCTTTGGCATTTAAGTGACGGCATTCGACTGATTAATATGCAAGTGATTATGCAATTGATTTTATATTTATCGCATTAGTCATCACTTCCTGGATAATAGTTACGCCACTGGCACGTGTGCAGATGATACGCTATGAAATACGTGCGATGGTAAACAACAATGAAAGCATGGCACCTTGTTTTATCCCATGCTAGTCTGACGTTCGTCATTATAAATTGTACGGTTGATAAAACAATGTGATATGTAACGGCAATCGTTACAACGGGTCAAGAGCAATCTTGTCACCGTCGTGTTCGCGCCCGGGCAATGTTGTACATTCACGTGTGTGTCCCAAAATGGGGGTCGAAATGTACACAAATTGGACAGTGCTCGTGGGAAAGCATAGCAAGGTGCAATGATATCCCAAGGGATAACTCTGAGTTTGCAATAGTAATAGTTTGCAACATTGGACAATATTGCATCGATCAGCTACCATGGGACGCTCATGAATAATTATGTACAATTTTACGACACGTTCTCGTATCATTAAAATAGTTTGAGTACATTATTATTTAATCTAATATACACTGAATTTGTTCACGAGCCTTTAATAACAAAATCTAAAACGAAGCATGAATAATAGCTATAGTAATTATACGATACGAGGTAAAAGCTGTTTGATTAAAATGATAATGACTGTTGTGATAATTTAAATTTAAATAACGGCTTATTTAAGTGCGATTGAACGAAAAAAAAGTACAAAATTAATATGTGCATAAAAAATGGTATTATTATCAGAAAATAAAATGCAAAAGTTTTTGCAAAGACCAATATGTTTCTCCTTTGATTAGAAAATGTTATTTTAAAGCAAGTATAGACTGATAGCGATACTGTGAGATTATAAAATCTGACTTCGTTTCGCTTCGCGTTTTAACAACTTTCTTTCCGCGAAACGCGAGCATCCGAACCGTTTTGCGACGTAATAAGTCATTCCGCCTTGATGGCGGGACAACTTGTAATGGCCGTTGACCGATTGCCTCTCCATTTTACCCCCTTTCCTCCGTCTCGCCGAAAGTTACCTAATCACTTTATCGAGTGACTTCTGCGGAAAGTTTCGGAGAGCCCCCTCTGGAATATCGACCCTGCTCTCTCGCCGCCCATACTCGCGCATTATTTCATCCGCGCTGTCACAACCGGCTGCTTTTCTTCGGGGACGGAATACAAAGGGGACCCCCGGCTTTCCTTCCCGAAAGAAGAAGAAACGCGGCGCTCGCCGCACTGGAAATTTAGCGCTTTAACGTCGCTCGTGCGTCATTTAACGTTCGCTGATTCAACAATGGCGGAGTCAATTGAGAAAAAAACTGACATGAGAATTAATCCCGCGAATGCCGCTGGCACTTCCATCACAGGATAATAATCACGTGGAATGCCTCTAATTTTCTATTTAATAGTTCCCGGTATTCGTAATTAAAATTTTGCTGCAGAGACACGTTTGAAATGTAAAATAAAATTTATATTTATATAATTATATATATTTATATAAAATATGATTTATAGCACAATTTGATGTAAAAGAAAATCGAATTTTAATTAAATAATTTTGATATATTTAAAATATAAAATTTAATATCTCTCGCAGAGTAAAATATGTAATGCTAATAAAAATATTAAAAATAGTAAAACTGAATGATAAGCTTTGAAGAATTGTATTTTATATTACAACGCGTTTGTTAATCATTATTTCATAAAAATTTATTTGTATATTGAGAAACGTTCATAAAAAATATTATAGAATAAAGTTTCAGTATTTCCTTTTCTCATAATAATATAATGTATTATAGTTCCATAATCAACATAAATAAACGAACATTGTTATTTCAAGATGTATAATATAATACATCAGTCCCCATGATTTACGACAATTGACCCGTCAAAAATTTTTTTAATCAAGCAGACATACAACCTTTGCGTCCGTCAAGTTAAGTTAATCATATCCATCGGATACGATTAAATTTCCTTTGCGATTTATTTCATACGGTAGGGCAAAGGAAACTTTTGGACAAGTTACGAATTACTTCCCGAAAACTGATAACGAACGCGCCCACGCTTGCGGACAAGAGGTCAGAGAAAACTCGGTCAAGGAACATAGCGATGGTAACGTTTAATGCCAATGAAAGGAAACGAAAACAGAAGGGTTGCTATTCGACTTGGCAAGACGGGTATAGCCGAGCACGCACAGGCGGCATTAAAGCATGCCTCATTTGAATCTGGCATGGTCGAGCACCTCGTAAAAAGCGAGCTCCGCAGAGAGAAAGAGAGAGAGAGAGAGAGAGAGATCTCCCCTTTCCATCCTTCTCCGCCCTTGTCAAACGCTTGGAGAAGAGTTAATTCCAACACTCTGGCAAAGAGTACGAGAGACGCATTCTACCATTTCATTGCATTATTGCATTGCGGTGTAAAACGCGTAACATTGATACCAATTTGACAAATTCTCATTAAGTTAGAGTTATATTTCTACGGTACTTGGATTAGCAGTCTCTCTAATTTCACCAAGTTGAGCTCCGCATTGATAATCTCTAAGATCATAGTTCGTAAGTTTAGTAATAAGTTGAGACTACACTAGGCAGGCCTTGAATAAGTAGTCTCTAAGTTTAGTCTCTAGTTTCACTAAGTCAGAATTACACGGAATAATACAAGAAGATTTCCACTAATTCTACATTTGACGTTACTCATTCGGTGACGTGCGCATACATATATATGTAAATCCGCGCGTCGCTATGTTATTATTATTTAAATTTACTCGACTAATACCGACAACTGCAACCGTAATGATTCGGTAGCGCACTGTCTGTTACGCGGAATCCGCATTCAATCATGATGAGCTATTTCCGGAAGCTAGAGATCGGCCGCTCGTTAGCGACGATCGACCGCGACACGCTCGCGTTTCGATACGTGCGCCGTTTCGACAAACCGAAATTCCGCCATAACCGAAATTCCCCATCGGCCCGGCCGGTAGCGGCTGGTAGCGACGTACTTTATTGGCCGTCATATCTGTCGCTGGCAGGGACAGGCTTTCGAACGATTAATTATAAACAACCAGCCGCAACAATGGCTCTGCGTAATTAAAGCGACCGGTCTCGCTTCCTTTCCCCCTCTGACCTCGCCCCAAACGCGTTCATCCGCTCCTGTGACCCTGGCAATATCAAAGCAGAGCTCTCTCCACCGTGAATATATGTCAGGATCAATCCCTCCTCTTGCCTGAATTAACTACGCTTCTTCCTCGCTAATAGAATCGGTATTGACTTTTCCGGAATTTTAATCGGATAATAAGTTCCATATATATATACGCGGGCATATGTGAGTAATCACTTCGTATCATAAATCGTAAATAAGTTTATACGTATATAAACGACACCCTTGTTGCTTATATATAATTAGGAAATGTGTTCAGACTTTGAAAAATATTAAATAAGTGAAAGTGGCATGTATATATAATTAATAAACAGTTTTACGTCAGTTTAGAATCAGCTTTCAACGATCAATTTGAAAAAGAAAAACAGTATATTTTGTTGTAAAAACTGTAGATAGAGAAATCAATAAGAATATGTGTATATTTAAAAAATAAATAAAAATAAACCTTTATTGATGCGAATGTTTGCTTATATTTTTATCGTAAAATTGGAATTGTTAAAAAAATATATACAATTGACAGGAATTTATTTTTCTACCACACTTCCGCACAATCCTCCACTTATTTATTAAAAAATATATTTATATACTTTTGGTCAAAATGTGTTACGGCAAATTATTGTTATTATTCTTTCGGAGTCGTTCTGAATTCGCTCGAATTAGATGCACGAGCGAAATTGCTTTCCCTATCATTATCTAACCGCAAAATAATTAACGCGGAATCAAATAATTAATTCCAAGGAAACTAAGGGAAGCGCGCGAGAAACGGGAGATAGCAAGTAAGTATAACGCGTCGCGATAACGATTAGCGCGATTTTCAGAGCAGATAGCTCGGCTTCCCCTCATTTCGTCGAGAATTTACGTCGCCGTAAGAAACGACCGCCTTGTATATATATGCGACGCGCTGATTATCGAACAAGACGAAAGGGAGTGTACTTACTACTTGGGTGGACCACGTGGGTGACGATTAACATATGCGAGCGTCAGATATTTTTTGCTCGCTCGACTCGAACGTCTGCTTACCTAAAACAGAAAATAAAAGATGCTCGTTATCATCTCATCGATCATTAGCGACGTCAACGTTAATAAAGAGCATGAGAGACGTGGCACGGAGTGACGAGGGTTACTTACTAAATCTGGAGACTCTTAGATTTTAACGACTTTAGAGAGTCTTCCTCTCTCTCTATCTATCTATTTGCGCGCGAGAGTCTCGAAAATAGAATTAATGTGACTTTAAGTAAACGATACATTGACGGACATGAACATTCCAAAAATAACAGTGCATAATGATAGAAGCAGTAATTCAAAAAAAAATGACAAAATAAAGAAATAATAAGAGAGCATTACTTCAGCCAAAGTTAGAATTGCGCGTATGCAACTGATTGCTTTCACTCTTTAAAAGCAATTTTGGTTTCATGAATATTGAAATATTTTGTCGCTTGTGTGTTAGATAAAATGAAAGCTGTAACTGTTTCCGTACCATATAATATGTCATTTCAATGTGAAATTTCATTCCTGACTACCGACAGGTATCTACAAAGGTATAAATATTAACATAAAAATATATTGCACATTAGCATACGTAATATTAATATATTAATATTAACGTACACTTTACCGTATACTCTGTAATTTTAAATATTATACATATTTCACAAGCGTGCGTTTGTGTGCGCGCGTGTGTGTTAAAAACTGCGACGATTATGTAACATATTTTTCTTGAAATTGCCCATGTATAGCTAAATTGGCGGTTTGCTCAGAAAATGCTGAGTCGCGTCGTAACTTGTTAAGTAAGTTTCTTCATTAGCCTAACGTCCGACTAATTTTTACATGCGCGTAGTCGTTTTAATTGCATTACACGACGCAACACGGTAAACGCGCGCGCCACCGACTTTTAACTTAAGCTTGTTTTCTCATCAAATTGTCTCTTTCCCTCGATTACGCGCGCGAAGCAAACATAAATTAATAATACATAAAAAAAACCTGTGTCCTCGAAATATTTTCTCTCTCATGCTCGAATAAAATAAAGAGACGAAATAAGGAATTTCAATGTATCCGTGAATGCAAAATATAATAGAAAAAAAGCAATTCCTGAAGAGTACAATTATTGATCATTTCACTATATTTGATATATTTTTTTCTAAAAGAAAAAAATTCAAATTCCTCTCAAATCCTTCTAACTCAATTATTACGGTTGTTTTAGCAGAAAACACTCGCTATAATAAATATATATGCAAATAAGAGCGGAGTGTGCGATCTCAGGCACATCAGGTAGCAATCTTGACTTTACATATCATGTACACAACACACATACAAATGTACATACATAGAGAGAAAGAGAGAGAGAGAGAGAAGCGCGCACGCGTTTGTATGGCACGGGCGATCTGACAAATTGCAACGTCATTACTGCCAATTTGTTTACACGCCGCCGGATAGCCGGTAACACGAGATTGGAACCCTGGAACGGGCCTCCTCGAGGATTCCATGTATTTATCAGATGGATAAGTCAAGCAAGCGAAGCGCGCCTAGCATACGTACCGAATAATCGGGGCGCATGACTCTCTACTAATGCTACTATCTAATGCTAATATATGCTGCAACCTCACGTCCGTAGTATTAAAAATTTTATATCGTTTTTATCTGAATCAAAATCTGCATATTACTGTCATATTTCTTTTTTTTTTTTTTTTAATAGATAAGTATCTCTCGAACGATTAATGTAACAAAAAATCTTTTCGATTGTATTTGTATTAAAACATTGTCGCTGACACATAATAAAAATTCCTCTCCCATTCTTCTTCCCAAGACATAGATATATGATTTATTTTCCTTTGAAAAAAGAAGAGAAAAATACAAAGTTTGCAGATGCATAATCAAGATTATTCTAAACGGATAAGAGCAGTGTATATTTTATCTTGCTTTTTTATTATTCTTTTCCGCTCGATATCCATTTCGCGAAGAGTCTACTTCTATCTGTGAATACCGGGTCTTAGTGGTAGCTATTCTGGAAGACTTATCGTTAAACGTAGGAGCTGGAACGAGAGAGCTATAGATGTATCCGTGCTTTCACACGCGCAGATATGTGAGATTGTATGAGTACGTTTTACACACTAACGAGCGGATTTCGCCGAGTGTAAAAGGGAATTACGTAGAGCTGAAGTTTTCCATCTGGAATCGTTAATCGTGCCACCGAGCGAGGGTGGACGTTGATCACTTTATAATTGAATGAGGAGGAAAAAGGGACGCGACTATGGCAGACATGCTGTCTTCCTCCTTCCTCATCGTCTTCAAAATTTCGATTCGAATTGCTTTTCATCCTTTACTTGCTCGTCTCAAAATTCAAAATCATGCAACAACGTTGAAAGTGCTCCGAGAAATGTGTATAAAAATTTATTATTTATAAAATTCAATATCAAATAATAAAACAAAAATTAAATAGGTGTAATATGTATGTGTGTGCTGAAATTTCCTTAAATTGAATTATTAATTAATTTTGATTACTAATCAAATCCTAAAATATATTGCATATCGGACCTGAATAACAATTAATTTTAATAACAATTATAAATGAACGGTTATAATATCTTAATCGTTATTTGTCAAGATTGCGTACTTTAACGCACGACAGCTTTCTCATTATCACGATTCCTGATTTCCCGAAGCGGAAAGGAGAAAGTATGTCACATCCTTTAATAATGCAATGCGAAAGCGAGTGAATATAACGATGCGCTACTAAGCGGTAAAGGAAGATACGATGGGATGAAGAAGGAGTAGAAGGAAGAGCGTCGCGATTTAGCATTCTCCCGGTTAACAAACTGCAAATAACTGAACTGCGGCTGCAGGATGACGTTAATTAATATTGCCAACGGTACGGAGTGTCGACGGAGGGATGAAGAAGTTCGGGAGTGACTAAGGGGGTAGAAGAAGACAGTGGTTACGCAGGAGTGAGAAGAAGGAGAGAGAGAGAGAGAGAGAGAGAAGCGAGTGGGTGCTCCGAGTTTTTATCATCTCTCCCTCCCGACTCGATTCAGTTAAACTTTGAAATAACCCCTTAATGAGTCCGTCGTGCCGAGTAGACCGGATGCCGACGAAGCTCTCGGATTTTTCTCTCATTTGCTCTCTCACTCTCTTTCTCCGTGTCTCTCGTCTTCTCTCGCTGCTCTAGCCGCTTTCTTTCATTTTTCCATCGCGTTCCTACGTCTCCTTTTATTTTTCTGGTACGAACCGTGCATAAACTTCCTCTTCTCTCTCTCTCTCTCTTTCTCTCTCCTCCCTCCTTTTTCTCCGTCAAAAAACTTGACCGACGTTACGATCTTGATTATTGCAAAACTGGTGTCGCTCTGTGACTTTGCTTTAAGCGTATCGTTGATTCTCCCGGTACAGAAATTAATGGAAAAGTCTTGAAAGTTCAGTCCGTTACTTTTCAATGTTTATCTAACCTTGAAGCAATTAAAAATTTTCAGGTCGAGGAAATTCAATTTGCGAATAAGCACAACAACCGATAAGAATTGATACACGAGATAATCAGATTCCAATTGAGAAAATTTAATATCTTTCGTAGACACTTACGTCGACTTTTGAACTTGTGAATTTCGATTGATTAAAACGATATTTCTCCCGTTTATATCACGTCAATTGACTGTTATTCGCGGTCCGTTGTGTGTGTTTGTATTATTATTATTACTTCTCGTGTCAACTTTGAAACTCTCAAACTTCGCTATGTATATCCAACGACAAATAGCAACGAAATTTTGTCAAGTGTACCGTTTTGTCGTTGTAAACTTCCAGAAAGGTTCCTAACAGAGGAGAAGAGTTTCGCGGGGGCAAGCGTGTGTGTTTGTCCAGCAAAAGTGCCGCATTGTTGCGAAGCTGAGCATTGAGCATACGAGTTCGTTCTTAATGGGCTTTCTGTGTCCGACATGCGGTGGACGATACGATCCTCGCGTTTGTCACCATAATTCCGTTCGCTTCGCATTCCGGAATTCGTGCGAAAAGAATTTTATGCATTTTACGCGAGCATCTTGTGCAACGTAAGTGTGTGTCTTGCTAATTGTAAGTTTGAATAAAATATAAAGCGGTCATCAGGAAAAAATATACGGAAGAAAAGGTATTCTGTTATTAATTTTGCAAAGAATAATTTCTCGGAAAAAAAAACAATAGCAATATCAAGCAATCTATTCTATATCAAGCAAAAAAGTATTGTAAAATTTTAACAAGTTTATTATGACAGATATTGAAACATCTAAAATCCTTTTATAAAAAAATCTATCATTATAAAATTATAACCTTATATATGAAATATTTCTGTTTGTATCATTTCGATTAAATATAATTGCAATAATCCGTAGCTTGAAAAATAATAAAGAGAATATCATTGTTAATTCTGCGTTATATACATAATTATATGCATTATTATATGCTTCTCAATAATACGTATTTGTAAGAACTTTTTTTTATGTATCTCAACTCGAGGATCATTTTTTGGTATGACTCTTAATCTAGTCGGACTCAGTGATTTCGTTTTGAAGCACTCACCGGTTGAACTACGCTACGTATTAATTAAATGAGATTCGTGAGATGACATGGTGGCCCAAACGTGAATTCACGCTAATGAGTCGCTGATTTCGTTACACGGAAAGAGAAAGAGAAAAATAGAACGAGAGAGAAAGAGAGAGGAACCTGCGACATGAGAGAGATGTGACGTTCATCGTCCTCGCGAATAATGAGCCACTCGTAAAATAGGAATTTGCAAGAGAAACTGTGCAAGGGGATAGATTAAGACGAGCATTAAAGATTTATTTCGCACGACGTTGCATTTACGATCGTGACATATAATAAATGTGAATTTTCAAATTTACGATATCATCATATTTTATCGGATTATAAAGAAACTACGGGGAAAAATAGCTATGTCACTACTTTTATATATAGGTATATCTTGCATTTATATTTTAATTAGAACATTTTTTTTATTACGCTCCTCTTTTTATCTCGCAAACCTATTTAAAGTGGACCATATACTA